ACACAATTTATATAATAATATGTAGTGTATTTAAGTTATGTAATTATATAGTATTTGTTATATATGATATATATATCTATACAATTATATGATACACACTCTGTACCTTGCCTTTTTCACTGAACGATATAATTTTGAAAGAATTTTACATCAACACATAAAAAGCAACCTCATTCTGTTTCTATTTTCATATTATTCCATTGTTTATTTAACCTTACCCCACTGGTGGATCTTTAGATTGTTTTCAGTCTTTTTTCTAATACAGTGAAACCTGTGAGAACCCAGAACTCTATGGGACTGTCTTGTTTTTCCAGATTTAGCAGATTTTCTGCCTTTGACAAGGTGCAGTCTTATTGCTTTTCTATCACTTGTTTTAGTGGAAAATATTTGAGTTCTCCTTCTCTGACAGGTTGTTGCTTTACACAGATTCTAGCTTTCGCAGGTTTTACTGTATAAACAAATCTACACCAGACCACCTTGTCTATAAGTCATTTCACAAATGTGCAATATATCTGTAAGATGAATTCTTATAAGTAGAATTGCTTAATCAAAAGACATTTTCATTTTTTAAAGGACTCGCTAAGAGTCAGAATTGACGACATCAAATTTGTTTTTTTTTGTTTGTACTCTGAATGCTCCTTTTTAACAGCATCTTTTGTTTGTTTCATGTTTATACTATCTTTCCTTATCTCGTCCCATGTTGAAGATAAGAATTTTTAAAACTTTTAATACACGATCTCTTTTTTATCCATATTGCTTTGTTGTTTTTCCTTTCTTTCTTTCGTGATGGAAACTTTTTTTTTTTTTTTCAGTTATCTGCTGACTGTCAGTTGGCTGTTCAAATTAATAAAAAACAATTGAAGGTCTGAGCATGTTGGTGGGACATGTCAATTGTGGTTTCATTTTGGTGATATGACTGGGCTTTTTTTAAAAAAAGAACTTCTAATATCAGTGTCTTTAGGTGTTTCATTGGGGCAGGTCAGATTTTCTGGAGCTGCAGGAGGGGGTGGTGTGTCTTCTAATTTCCTGCCTGAAGGTAATAAATCTGGGTGCCAGGAGCTAAGTGGGAGAAGAGACCAGGGCACCCCCACTTTCTTCACATAATTCCTTTATGTTCACAGCACCTCCACCTCAACTGCTCCTGGTAACCCCTGGTCCTGGAACCCTTGGCCTCATCTTCTCTGGAGAATTAATCTCCCACTTCTTGCCAGAGTGTAAGAGGGGCAGCGTCCATGTGTGTGGAGTGGCAAGGGATCTGCGAAGCCATGTGCTTCTTCAGCAGACTTTCAAGAAATTCCTGTTTTCAGTCTCACCCTTACCCCCACTTATGTTTGGTAACTCCTGCCACCAACTCTTGAGCCTCTGGGCACATTCTGTGATGTACATCAGGCTACCCCTTTCCTCACCATCAGCATAGAACTCAGTTTTCTTAGGTCTGCAAGTCGATTATCACCCATCCATGTGCTTCCAGGTGCCAAAAATGTTTTGTTGTCTTCTCTCTTGTTCTCATTGTATTTGTGACAAGACTCATTCTAGCGGGAATTTTGAAGGGAATAGTGCTTGAGTATGTTCCGTTTGCCATTTTAATTCAGAAGTGGAGTTCTTTATGCATCATGGTTCTTGGGACCCTGGGTATTGAGGATAACTTTTAGTTATCCTCAGGCTACTGAGACTGGGAAATGTAGGGCTATTCTTAATGCAAATTCCCTCTTCTCTCCCTGCCACACAGATAGCATTCTTCCTGTAAATTTAAGACTTGTCCATGTGATCCTTTATTCTATTCCATCTTCTCTGCTTCTTGGAATGAAACTGGGTCCAGAGAGGTTCCTTACACCAGTCTGCTCACCTGTTCTCACAGTTGCAAACTAGCAATGTTGGTTTTGGCCCTCAGTGTGTGCCCCTCTTTTCAGAGGGTACTTTTGTGGTCTATACTTATAGGTGTCCCTTTTCCACTTTCTCCATCATCTTTGCTCAGTCTCTACTGCTTTTGGTGTCCTTTCCATACATTTTGTAGCTTCAATTTTTAGCTATCCCAACTTTGTCAAGCATGGACTTTGGGCTTCTGCTTTCAATTTTCTTGTTGTCTTGGGGTAACTTCTGAGGGAATTCTCACTCTGTATTTCCATTTTTAAGCTGGATTTCTCCTATTGGGATTTTAATTGGGATCACATGGATTTTATCGACTACTTTTAAGGAGAATTTACACAGTGTTGAGCCTATCTATCCAATAATATGCTTATCTTTCCATTTCTTCAGACCTTCTTTTATGACTTTCTGTAAATTTTTTTTTGGTCTATGTTTTTCAGTAAAGTTTTATAATTTTTAGCATTAGAGTTCTTTCCTAGGTACTTTACAGTTTTTGTTGCAATTGTGGACAAGATATATATATTTTTCTATTACTTTTACTAATAGGTTATTGGTATTATATGAGAAAGCTGTTGATTTTTGTTTTGATCTTGTATATAGTGTAACTGCTTTAAACATGAATTATATTTCTATGTTCCTTGTACAAAATTTGTAAAGTTCAAGGAAATTGGGAGGAAAAATAACATTTAACTCCACTACACTGTTAATATATTGGCATATTTCCTTCCAGTCTTTAGAAACACTTAGGAATACTTTCTCTCTCTCTCTACATATATGTATATATATTTTGCTCAATATCTTAAAATGTGATAAATACAGCATCAACTACATATTATTTCATCATGTGGTTGTACCATAATTTACTTAGCTATTCCCTAATAGCTGCTTAAGAAACACTTTGAGCTTAAATATCTGACAAGAAAGAAGCCAAAAACCTCCCTCCATCTCAGTTACTCCATTTGTGAAATGGGGATAATGATCATTTCTGTCTATAATGGTAGTTGCAAGAATTAAATGCAAGGATTCAGCAGTGTTCATTGCAGTGACTGGCACATGAAAAATGCTCAAGTAATGATGGCTGTCATCATTCTTAAACTATTAGGAATTGCTTATGTTAGCACCTTCAATTTTTACTGTCACTCTCTAAGTTAGTATGGTTATCTCAATTTAAGATATGGAAACTGAGGTTCAGAGACATTATAGAAGGTGTCCAGTTCACACAGCTGGTAAATGCCTTTGCTGCTTTTATCCTTTTTCCTGTAAAAGCAAATCCTGAAGTGGGACTGGCCTAAAGCTTTGTGAGAGATACAACTACAAGGACTGGAGAATAGACACCTATTCTTAGCAGAAGCAGAAGCAGTTGCCCACTTTAGCAATAAATAGCTTAAGATTCCCTTTTCAGCTATGTCAGAAAGTCCTAGAAATTGAAAGATAAAAACAATCTGCATATTTGTTAGAGATTTTTTTCATAAAGAGGCCAAGCTTTTTATTCTAAACCAGTAACATTTAAAGAGGGAAATACATCAGGCAAAGTTATAATGTTCTCAATATTACAGCACTAAACTTAAATCTCCTGCTTTCAGATACCAGCTCTCCCTCGGTGCATCCTTCTGCAGGAACAATGGCCTGGGTGGGAAACCAGATTCTCATCCCCCACTTCATCCTCCTCGGCCTCTTCACCCACTCCCTGCTGCATCTCTTCCTCTTCTCCATCATCATGGTCATGTTTCTGGTGGCCCTGTCTGGCAAGGGGCTCATGATCTTCCTCATCAACGTTGACTCCCGCCTCCACAGCCCCATGTACTTCTTCCTCAGCTGGCTGTCACTCATGGATCTCATGCTCATCTCCACCATTGTGCCTCAGATGGCTGTGGACTTCCTCTTGGGTGGTGGCTCCATCTCCTTCATAGGCTGTGGGCTCCAAATTCTCTTCTCCCTCACCCTTCTGGGGGATGAGTGCTTTCTGCTGGCCTTCATGGCCTATGACCGCTATGTGGCCATCAGTAACCCACTGAGGTACTCGGTGTTCATGAGTCGCTGTGTCTGCTGGATCATGGTGGCAGGGTCCTGGCTCTTTGGACTGGTGGACGGGCTAATCCAGGCTGTCTTCACCCTCTGCTTCCCCTATTGTAGCTCCCAGGAGATCGACCACTTCTTCTGCGAGGTTCCCGCTGTGCTCAAGCTAGCCTGCGCTGACACTTCCCTTTATGAGACCATGATCTATGTCTGCTGCGTCCTCATGCTGCTCCTGCCCTTCTCTGTCATCTCTGCCTCCTACCTGTGGATCCTGCTGGCTGTGCTCCGCATGCGCTCTACTGAAGGCCGGCAGAAGGCCTTTGCTACCTGCTCCTCCCACATGTGAGTGGTCTCCCTCTTCTATGGGGCCGTCATGATCACCTACATGCGGCCCCAGGCTTACCATTCCTCCAAGCAGGACAAGGCGGTCTCTGCCTTCTATACCATGATCACCCCCATATCATACAGTCTGAGGAACAAGGAAGTAACCGGGGCTCTGAGGAAACTCCTGGGAACGTGTCCCTGTGGCGGGGAACAGGGCTAGGTTGGCACCAACAGATACAGGCTTCCTGGCTTGAGAATTTGGCTTAGCTAATGGCATCTTTTGATGGAGGAGAAACAAATGTACTTTATTAAAAATAAAAGTCATTCTCTGACCACAGTTAATCAGATTAACACATTGATTCAATCCATCAGATGCATGCTGAGTGTGGGCAATGAGTAAGAAAGGCTAGGGCCTATGGGGTTACAAAAAGTAGAAGACACAGACAGAAATTTTTATCCCCACAACTGCTGAAAGAGTCAGCAGGTGACAGCTCTCAGCTGCACCCCCTCCAGGAATTGACCGTGGCTGAAGAGAGCCACTTTGCCCAAGGTCATGCCCTCTCCTTGGGGGCTGCCTGAATCCCATGACTGATCAATAGGGGTATGAAGACCCCCCTGCCTTGCCTCAGTTTGGGACCACCCATGCATGACAAGGAACAAGAGCAAGGCTCGCAGGCTGGAGCTAGCAGCTGGGGTGGGGCTCAACACCCCCCCCCACCACCAAATAAACTGAAAAACCTGCTGCCAAGTGCTGCCTGGGGTCCAGTTCCTGGCGAGCTGCAGGCCAGGGGAGCTATAACTGGAGCCTGGTGCCCAACCACTTAGCTCTGCTGCAGTGCCAGCATCACATGGGCAGCAACTCCAAATTCTCATTTTAAGACTTGCTTCAGAATATGGTGCCCAGCAGTCTGGAAGAAAGCAACCACAAACTACTGAGCAGAGCAGGGTGGTGGTGGTGGGCTTTTTTTGGGAAGGCATGCACGTGAGAGACCGAAAAAAAGATAATAATAAAAATGTAAAGCTTCCTCTTCAAAACAAGCCTGAAAACAAAACAAAACCAAAAAAACTAAACCATGAGCCAAATTTTGATACTAATAAAGACAGTTAACAAAAATAACACTCAGAACTGTAATTCACTGAAGATGAAATTCATTTTATAGAAGAATTGGAAAAAGAATTTAAAATAATATCTTGAAGGTGTGTGAAGAGACGAGTGAAGGTATGTTTCCCATTAAAATTAGAATACAAAACAGTAAGGAAAAATAGTAAAAGATGAAATATCAATATTGGCTGTGCAAAAGAACCAATTAAAATATTTGAGATAGAAATATCACATTAAAATAAAAAATTGCAATAAGGGATAAACTGCAAGAGATAAACTCTACACTGGACCCAGTTGAAGAGAAAATTGGTTCATTGAAAGCTGATACCAAAGAACTCACTCAGAATTCAGCCTAAAGAAGAATGGAATATAAAAATATGAAAAAACAGTTAAGAAACCTGGAATATAGACCAAGATCCTTCAAATGTAGTTTAATATGAGTTCTAGCAGAAGGATTCAACCATTTCAGGAGGTAGCATATGACCACATGACCAAGAACTGATGGTATTGAAGGAAGAAGTCCAAGTTGCACTGAAGGCATTAGGGAAAAACAAGGCTTCAGGAATTGACATAATACCAATTGAAGTGTTTCAACAAACAGATGCAATGCTGAAAGTGCTCACTGGTCTATGCTAAGAAATTTGGAAGATAGCTACTTGGCCAATCGACTGGAAAAAATCCATATTTGTGCCCATTCCAAAGAAAGGTGATCAAACAGAATGTGGAAATTATCAAATGACATTAATGAATATCACACGCAAGTAAAATTTTACTGAAGATAGTTCAAAAATGGTTGCAGCAGTACCTTGACAGGGAACTGCCAGAAATTCAAACCAGATTCAGAAGAGGATGTGGAACCAGGGATATCATTTCTGATGTCAGATGGATCCTGGCTGAGAGCAGAGAATACCAGAAAGATGTTTACCTGTGTTTTATTGACTATGCAAAGGCATTCGACTGTGTGGATCATAACAAATTATAGATAACACTGAAAAGAATGGGAATTCCAGAACACTTAATTGTGCTGATGAGGAACCTGTACATAGACCAAGAGGCAATCACTGGAACAGAACAAAGTGATACTGCGTGGTTTAAAATCAGGAAAAGTGTGCATCAGAGTTGTGTCCTTTCACCATACTTATTCAATCTGTATGCTGAGCGAATAATCCAAGAAGCTGGACTATATGAAGAAGAATGGGACATCAGGACTGGAGGAAGACTCATTAACAACCTGTGATATGCAGATGACAAGACTTTGCTGAAAGCAAAGAGGACTCGAAGCACTTACTGATGAATATCAAAGACTACAGCCCTCAGTATGGATTACACCTCAACATAAAGAAACCAATAATCCTCACAACTGGACCAATGAGCAACATCATCGTAAGTGGAGAAAATATTTAAGTTGTCAAAGATTTCATTTTGCTTGGATCCACAATCGATGCCCGTGGAAGTGCCAGTCAAGAAATCAAGTGACATACTGCATCCGGCAAATCTGCTGCAAAAGACCCCTTTAAAGTGTTAAAAAGCAAAGATGTCTCTTTGAGGACTAAGGTGTGCCTGACCGAAGTCATGGTGTTTTCAGTTGCCTCATATGTGTGCAAAAGCTGGACAATGAATAAGGAAGATTGAAGAAGAATTGATACCTTTGAATTATGGTGTTGACAAAGAATAGTGAATATACCATGGACTGCCAAAAGAACAAAAAGATGTGTCTTGGAAGAAATATAGCCAGAATGATTTATCTTTTTCTATTCTTTCACAGTTCCTTGGACTACCGCTGACACCAGATGGTGGTGAGAGCGATCGCACAGAGCATGATACTAATACAAGGGTATGCTCAACCTAAAGACATGTTTGGTTCACTTTGCACAGGATCAGATACATCGTGAGTCATGTGATTATAGTGCTGCTGGCGCGTTCTTAGGTGGTCAGTGAGAGAGAACTGAATGTGAGGTTATACCCTCTTGGTCCAAAGTGAAAAGGAAAATATAATTGTTATCGTATATAAAATTTATAGAATGGTATCAATGTCATTGAGTGTCCTTGCAGTTCCGTTCCACTGCGGTGCTCACTTTGCTCTGTGTCTTGTCTGCTTGGCATCTATGGGTCTTTGCCTTGGACAACTGATTCCTCTGATTTGTTGATGCCCTGAGCGTATGCTTACCTTGCTTATTGGGTAATCCATCCCTGAGTTTTCTTTGTAATCATTCTGTTTGAGTATCCCTGAGGTTGTTGGATCTGTGGGTTGTTGTAAATCCAAAACTTGGAAAAATTTAGTTCAATATCTCATTAAACTTTTTTGGAAAATCTTCTCTTTTCTCTTTTTGGGATTCTATAGACACTTACATTATCTTGTTTGATATTTTCCCAGAAATCTCTGATGGAGTTATGTTTTTTCATTCATTTGTCCTTCTGTGATTTACTTTTAAGATTTTCTCTATTGATTAGTCTTATAGTGGAGACTTGGTGGCACAGTGGTTAAGTGATACGGCTGCTAACCAAAAGGTTGGCAGTTCAAATCCACTAGCTGCTCCTTGGAAACCCTAAGGGGCAGTTCTACTCTGTCCTATAGGGTCGCTATGGGTCGGAATCGACTTGATGGCAATGGGTTTTGAATCTTATAGTAGAGGGATCAGCAAGCTATGGCCTAAGGGTCAAAACTAGTGTACTGGCTGTTTTTATAAACACAGTTTTATTGGAACAAAGCCAAACTTACTAATTTACAGATCATCTAAAGCTTCTTTTGTGTTAAAACAGCAAAAATGAGTAATTGCAACAGAAATCTTATGGCCTGTAAAGTCTAAAATATTTACTATTTAAACATTTACAGAAAGCATGCCTACCTTTTTTGCAGTTCACCTATCTTTTGTTCTGCTATATTCAGGATGCTCTCAGTACTATCCAATGAAGTCTTCATTTCAGATATTGTCTAGAATTTTCATTTTGTTCTTTGTTAGAGCTTCCATTATTCTGATGCAACTCTCCATCTGTTCATCCATTCTGATATTCTTATTTTTTAAATTCTCTAATCTACTTATAACAGTTATTTTAAAGTTCTGTTCTTCTAATTCTAAACCTGGTTCATCTGTGTATCTGCCTGTATTGATGGTGTTTTCTCTTGGCAGGTCACATTTTTTTTTTTTTCTGCTTTTTTTCATGTCTTATATTTTCTGCTTATATCTTGGATGTTTTAAATAGATAACACAGGATACTTCCAGCAACATGGTGCTCTAGGCAGAAGCACCACGCTGTCCCTCCATAGCAAAGATCCAAAAAACTAAGCCAAACAGAGAAAACAGCAATCCTGAAACCCTAAAACATCAAATGAAGAGATAAAGAACTCAGCCAAGCATCAAATGGAGTGAGAAACTGACAGAGAATGGAGAGTGAGGAGAGATTCATGCAGATGTCCCCTATCAGCTAATGCAGCATGGATCCACCATCTTGGACTCCTATTAGAGACCAGCAAATAGGGGGTAAGAGAAAGCAGCTTCACAGAGCTTCCAGCAGGAGACAGAACAACTAGTAACTGGCGATATATGCTTTCCCACCCCCCACTCTTCTTCACCCCCACTTGGCCTCCTCTGCTTTCTGCAGCCACAGTCTCTTGGCCAGGAAACACCGGCTGCTTGGATTCCACCTGCCCACACTGGCTGACTCCCTGAGTGCCTTTTGTTTGCTGCTGGTGTTGGTTTTTCCACTCATTTTGATTTCTTCCTTACCTCTCACCACCTCCCACTCCTTTCGCTCAAATACCTGGCTCTGTACACCATCTTTGCTTCTTCCTAAGGAGCTGTGGATTTCCATTTCAGTGTGGAACTGCTTCTTGGTCTGTGCTGCCAAGTTGGTGGGATCCCGGGGCTTATTGTTTGTTTTGAATTGTTTGTTTGTTTTCTTTTTCTTTTCTCGAGTTGGGAGCCTGTTTTGGCCAGACAGTGCTACAGGGCTTGGGACCTACCACCACAGCTTGCACAAACAAGCAGAGGGATCCCTGAGGGCATTTCTTTTTTTGTGGTTTTTTTCTTTCTGTTTTTTTTGGGGGCTTTTCTTGTTCTTTTTTTTTTTTTATTTGTTTTGTTTTCTTTTCCCTCTTTTTCCCTTTTTGTCTTTTTTCA